AAAAAAATGATTCTTTGTATTATTTACCATAGATTATTATTTTGGTGTTACTTTGTCTTTGTCACAGCCAGTGTTGAAATATGTTAGGAAAAAGTGTATTAGAAGAATTGAAATTCATGGGCTTTTGGTTGGGGTATTGAATGCCATTGGTTAAATTACCTAGGAATGATCTTCCTTCCTATTTCAAAGGCTGGCCTAATTGGTTACGTGCCTTACTTGAGAGCCAAGCTTGACATTGTGGAGAACTTCACAGATACTTAGTTTTGCAGGGATCCCTCAAAAGCTTTCATGCTTCTCTGGGAATTTATGGTAGGCTAAACTAGGTATCGGGAGCTCTGGTAGCGTAGTGCCTGAGGCACTTGACTGCTAACCAGAAGGCTGGTGGTTCAAACCCACCAGGCACTCCTGGGAAGGAAGCTGGGCAATCTACTTCTGTAGTGATACTGTCTTGGAAACCCAAGGAGGGGTCTTCATGAGTTGGGGCTGACTCAACAGCACATAACAACAACAGCAAACTAGGTATCAGACCTAGAGTAAATTTTTAGCTGTGAAATTCTTCTAAGCTTTTAAGCCTGGGATAATTGCTTATTAGCTTTGTAGAGTAGTTGTGGGCCAGAACACCCCTTTTGATTTATTCTTAGTTTGGATCTGATCACATAATGAGATAGAAATGAGGTGCAAAGTCTAGGCAATTTGTCTTGTTAGGACTTGGAGTCTGAATACATGCTTATTGGCCCTTATTTGGGTCCAGAAGAAAAACATAAGTATACTATTACAGATACAAATACTGTGTCTGGGATTTTAACTGTAAACTGGTAAATCTGTAAAGTGGCACATTTTAATTCTAGTTTTTTTTGTTACAAAATTTGTTTTCTTGTTTGATTAGATCTATAGTATCTGTATTCCAACAAAATGAAATATCAGGCAAAATTCATTACAATGAATTGTGTTCAATATAAATTTCATGCATGCTACGAGGTAGATACTATGTCTTTTAGGGAGCTAGCTCTGAATTCTATGAAATAGATATAATGTATTTTGGGGAGCTGGGTTAGAGAAACTAAAAAAGGCCAAGAAAGAGAGCTAACCTGGGCAATTGTAGAAGGCTTTAGTTGTCTGTCTTGAATCTGGCAATCCACAATTATTGAGTGTACTTTTAAGTTTTAGAATTCCCTAAAGTGCTTCTTAAAAGGAGGTCTAGTGGTGCAGTGCCTAAATTTGACTGCTAACTGGAAGGCTGGTGGTTCAAACCCACCAGCCACTCCTCGGAAGGAAGGTTGGGCAATCTACTTCCGTAGTGATACTGCCTCAGAAATCCAAGGAGGGGTCACTTTGAGTCACATCTGGTTAGCAGTCAAGTGCCTTAGCCACTATGCTACCAGAGTGGGCGCGCTCTCTCCCGCTCTCTCCCTCTCTCTCCCTCCCTCCCTCCCTCTCCTATACTATACTATACTATACAAAATAAATAAGGAGCTCTGGTGATGTAGTGGTTAAGCGCTTGGCTGCTAACTAGAAAGTCAAAGGTTCAAACCTACCAGCCACTCCACAGGATAAAGATGTGGCAGTCTGCTCTCGTAAAGAGTACAGCCTTGAAAACCCTGGGGGGCAGTTCTACTTTGTCCTATAGGGTCATTAGGAGTCAGAATTGACTTGATGGCAACAGGTTATAAGATAAAAAAAATCTATAATAAATTATATAAAATAAATATATATCACAATTTTTCTAAAGTAAGTATATTCAATGTTTATATTAATATAAGAACCAAGTAGGTAACTACTGTGATTATATTTTCTTTTTTGCATCAACTTTTGAGTGTGTTTTTGCTGTAGTTTAGTAATTTCTTTCATTTTTGACTTCTGCTTTTCCCTATGCCTGTAATTATTTGTGCTCTGTTAGCGGAACTCCTCTCTGTGGTTGAGAATATCAGGCAGTCTATCAGTTATTTTTTTTTTCCCTCCCTTTGGATCTCTTCCCCTTGAAGTCCTCTAACTTCTTGCTCTACTTTGAGCTGGTTACTTCCCTTCACCACCATCCTGCGTATTTTCTTTGTCTCTGTTCTTTGCTAAATTTCCATTTTCCCAGACCTCAGATTTTCTTTTGAGATACTCAGATGTCTAAAAATGTTTTTATTCTTCCTTGTCTTGATAGTATAGCAGGATATAGAATAATAGCTAGAAAAGCATTTCCCTTGAAGGCATTATTAGTTCAGTGTCTGTGGTTTCCACTGTTGCTATTGAGAAATCCAAGTGTTTTGATTTTTTAGGTCTTTGTTGATTATAAGACTCACCCTCTTTGGAATATTTTTTAAAAATTCTTCTTTTTTTTTTGTGGTAAAAATATATGTAACAAGTATTTGTCAATTCAACATTTTTTACATGTATAATTCAGTGACACCAATTACATAAATCATGATGTATAAGGATCCCAGTATTTCTCTGGGATATTTTATATACTTCTTTTCCCCTGATAGTCTGAAATTTCACTATAACATGCCTTCATGTGTATTTTTCCCTGTGCTTTATAGTCATTTGGTCCTTTCATTCTGGGGATTGGTGTCTTTCAGTCCTGGACATTTTCTTGGTGTATTTATATGGTAATTTACTTCTCCCTATTATCTGTTCTTTCTGGAACTTCTATTATAATGTTGGGTGTTGGACCACGTATTTGGATTCTCTCATATTTTCTTTACTGTGGCCTTACTTCCTCCCTATCTCTGCCACTTTTTCCTTTCTTTTCTTTGTAAAAGATTTCTTCAGTGTTACCTTTTCAGCTTTCAATTTGTAATTTCCAAGGGCTCTTACTGTTTTTAGAATAGCATACTCATCGTGTATTATGTATGGAGTGTCTTTTCATTAGTTGTAGTGAGCTTTTGGAATTTTTTTTTATTTCTGACATTTTTTCTGTTCCTTATCCTTTTTCCTTCCAGTTTTCTCTGGATGTCTATTCTAAGTTTGGCATCCCAGGAATCCAATTTGAAGGTCTGTGTACATGGGTGGGGCCCGTCAACTAGTAGACATTGTAGATTGATCATACGAGCTCCCTTGGCTTTTCCTTGGTGGACCCCCAACTGTTAATATGTTATAGGTTATCTTGTTAACATATTAGATAGCTTCCCTTTCAGTTTCTCCAGAGAAGAATTTTATAATTGCCTGCTTTGGGGAGGGTTGTCAAGGTAGATATTTGTCTATGTGTGTGTATGTAGGCACTTTCAGCTTTTTGTGAACTAAGCATAGAAATTAATTTAACTTCATGTTCAATTTAACATTTAAGTCAGTTTATAGATTTTAACACTTGTTTTCGATTTGGTACCTTACCCTACCCTTTGTAAGTCTGTAGCCTCTCTAGACCAGTCATTGAAAAGAATAATGTGTCCTGCCTGGGTTAGTGAAGAGTTCCGGGGTTTAGATTGTTTTGTATATAGATTTTCTCCAATTAATATGGAATAAGCCCTGTTTATAATAGGAATCCTTTATATATAAGTTATTTAGACATTGAGGGAAATCCCAGAATTTTATAAATAGTTGTGGAGTGATACAAATTCCTTCCTTGTTTGATCAGAGCTTTTAAGATCCAAATTCTAGGAATCAGGTTGTCATATAGGGACATACCTTTGAATAATTTAGACTGAAGAGAAATGTAAGAATCTTTAGGATTTCATTAACTGTCTTTCTGGGGTCGTTCTTCCCCCCACCCCCCAGAGTATGTAATGATAACTTGATTTTCCAAAAGATTGCTGATACTAGGGTAAATTTGTTAGAGAAAATTCATCAGAAAATTAAAAACTTGGATGTATTTTACTATCATTTGAAAAATAATATATTGTTAATCTAGATTTAAAATTAACTCATTAATAAGGTTTTTGTTACCACAGTGGAACTTAAAGAAAACAAACAAAAAAACAAACTCATTGTCATCGAGTCATTTCTGACTCATAGCGACCCCCATTGGGTTTCCAAGGCTGTAAATCTTTAAGGAAGTAGCTCACCCTGTGTTGCTTCCACAGAGCAGCTGGTGGGTTTGAACTGCTGACCTTCTGGTTGGCAGTGAAATGCCTGATCTGTTACGCCACCAGAGCTCCTTACAGTTGAACTTAAGGGATCTTTTAAAAATTTTTAAAGTAACTTTGCAAATGAAATTCATAACTTGGTATCTTAACAGTAATACCACAGGTAGGCTGCTTTAACAAACAGCATTTTATTTTCTCATGGTTTAGAAGGGTAGAAGCTTGAGTTCTGGGTGTTGGCTCTAGGGAAAGGCTTTCTCTCTCTGCTGGTTCTAGAGGAAGGTCCATGTTTCTTCTTAGTTTCTGCTGCTGGGCAATCTTCATATAGCTTGGCATCTATCTTCCTCCATCTCTGCTTACTTCTCTCTGCCTTAGTAGCTTAATTGATATCTCTTTCATATCTCAAAAGAAATTGACTCAAGGTATACCCTACACTAATCCTGCCTCATTAACATAGCAAAGACAACCCATTCTCAAATGGGATTATAACCACAGACATAGAAGTTATGATTTAAAGCACAAATTTTTTGGGGACACATTTCAATCTGTAACACTTGGTAAGGTAACTAATGTAGTCCCTGACTCAATATGGTAACTATGAACATGAACCACACTTACAACCTTCTGTTTTTTTTTTTTTTTTCTTTTGGGTATCTTATCATTAGTAATATGTATTACATACATTGTTGTAACATGTACAATACTGATGATATTATTCTCAGATGTTCAGTTGCAGATGTTCAGTGTTGATTTATGTTCAAAACATTGCTATATAGCAGGGAATAATGAAAACTTAAAAAAAAGGTATTCAACTTACATCAGAACTGATTTTCGGAGTCAGAATGGAAGCCTGTTGTAAGTCAGGGACTACCTGTAATTGTTTTAAAAAGCATATAATAGTTATTAGAGTTAATGTCTTTAAGTGATACTAATTTAATGTTTTTTACAATTTATTCTAGGTAGAAGAATACATGTTCACTTTTAGTGAACAAGAGCATGTTCCCAAACTCCTCAATTTTGGGTCGCCCTCCCTTCACTCCAAACCATCAACAACATAATAACGTCTTTGCCCTGTCACCAACTCTTTATTCACACCAGCAGCTTATAGATGCACAGTTCAACTTTCAGAATGCAGAGTAAGTATGGTGTTTTGTCTCATGTCATTTGTAGATTTCATTTTCTATTTGACATAAACCTTTGTGTGAAACATTTGAAAGTAGAGAAAATGTTATCACATCTTGTTTTCTTTTGATCAGAACAATATTTTTGTTTTTTCTGAATTGTTTATTTTTAGAAAAAATATGTATGTTACTGTTCTTTCTTGTTTTGGTAGCCTGTCTAGAGCTGTGTCATTACAGCAGTTGACATACGGAAGTGTCAGTCCAATACAGACTTCAACCTCCCCTTTATTCCGAGGAAGGAAGTAAGTACTTCTCACTTAATTGTTTTACAAGAAAATTTGGCAGTTTTGAGAACTGTATGGTAACGTGTCTTGTGTTAAAATTGCATTTACAGCTCTGCCCTAAATTTTGCTTTTCTGGAACCTGTGCAGTCAACCCAAGCACAGAATTTTTAAACTTTTATCTAATTTGTTTAATTTTGAAGATTCTTTGGTTGATTTGTTCATGCCATTATTATAAGTTATAGGTGGAAAAAGCTACATTTTTTTTTTTTTTTAGAAAACTACTTTCGCTTAAGATTTTAAACTAAAATCATATGGGCTTCTTTCTAGTAAAGTATTCTGTGTTTTTCTTTTGATTTTATCTAAATCTTATACAGGTAACATTCCATTACAACAAATACTATAGTGAAAATCTATATGCCATGACGTTTTCTATAGTTTATTCAGGAGCCAATTGATTGTAGCCTATCTGATTAAAAGAAATTTACATATTAAAGAATAATTATAATGAAACTTTATATGTAGCTATTAAAATAAGATTTGGTAATATTTATAAGATATTGCTATTATTTTAAAACCTATATAAATATTCTGTAATTTTTATGTCTAATTAAAAATAACACTGTTGTTGTTGTTGTTATGTGCTGTCGAGTCGGCCCCTACTCATAGCGATCCCTCCTTGGGTTTCCGAGGCAGTATCACTACGGAAGTAGATTGCCTACCCTTCCTTCCGAGGAGTGGCTGGTGGATTTGAACCGCCAGCCTTCTGGTTAACAATCAAGTGCCTTAAGCACTGTGCTACCAGAGCTTCTAAAATAACACTAGCTGAGTATTATTAAACACTCACTATGTGGCAGGTACTGTTCTAAGGACTTACAGATATTGATTTATATCACTTTAGGAGGTAAGTACTTTCTCCTCTCCTGTTGAGGAGAAAGCTGAAGCACACAGAGATTATATAAATAGTTATTCAGCTAAAAATTCAGCTGAAAGTGGCATAGCTGGGATTTGAATCCGGACAGTATGGCTCTAGAACCCATGCTTACAAGCACCACAGTTCTTCAGAGCTGTCACTGTGGAAAGCTGTATACTGATTTTAAAAGTATTGATGTTATTCAGATTTTTCTTTTAAAAAAAATGTCTTGATAGCCAATGGAAATAAATTGTATTAATTCATAGTTATACATATTTTTAAAATAAAAATTGGCATTCCCAGTAAATGGCACTCAGAATGTTGTGGTGTGCCATCGAGTTGATTTTGACTCATAACAACCTTGTGTGACTGTAGAACTGCCCTGTAGGGTTTTCAAGGCTATATTATTTATAGGAGCAGGTTTCCAGGTCTGCTTGAATCTCCAACCTCTTGGTTAAAAGTAAGTATCTAAATTCAGTCTTTCCTGTTTATGAATCAGAATATAAATAGATTCAAAGACAACTTTTTTTTTTTTTTTAATGTATTACACTCAGCTCAACTACTTATATTCCTTATGTTAGTGTTTGGATCTTTTTGTTCTTAGTGATTCCATAAATGGAAGCTTTCCTAAAAAGTTTTCACTGCTAAGATGAATTGCAGGACACTAACCCAGTATGTGCATGTAGTTTGTTTTTCTGTATGTATTATTGCTACTCATTTTTCATAAAAGTATTTATTGAGAGACATTTCTTGTGCTGAAAGAAATGTTTTTATTTAAAATGTATGTAGAGCTAATAATGTAACTTTGCTAAAAGAGTCATATATTGCCATTATCTGTTATGATATTTACATATTTTTTGTTGTTTTCTATTTGAAAACGGAAAGTTACGTCTTTAATCACTAAGGAATATTGCTTGTTTTCAGGAGATTAAGTGATGAGAAAAATCTTCCTCTTGATGGTAAACGGCAGCGTTTCCATTCACCCCACCAAGAGCCAACCGTAGTTAACCAAATAGTGCCTTTATCGGGTGAAAGAAGATACTCAATGCCGCCATTGTTCCATGCACACTATGTACCAGATATAGTCAGATGTGTTCCACCTTTTCAAGAAATATCATTTTTAGAACCTAGAGAAATCACACTGCCAGAGGCCAAAGATAAGGTAATAATGAAAGCTTTTGGTTTTATCTTTTGCGAAATTCAGATAAATAATGCATAAAAAGTATCAGAAATATCTAATGTTTTATGTTAAATGGAACATGTCTTTTTTTCCCCACTGTTTAAAGTATTGTTCAACCAATATTCTGTTAAAATACTGCTTTGATTTTTATTAGCTGTTCTTTTAGGGAAATCAGTTATTAGGAAATCAGATTTTCCCTGATTCACAAAAAACTGGGATTAGAGCCCAAAATTAGTTTTCAGATGTTTATTTTAATAAAGTGTTAAAAAGCATTTTATTTTGGTATTATTTTTCTTTATCCTGAGGTTTTTGAATGTCAAAAAAGTAGAGAATCCAAGGATCACCGAGGAAGTCATACATTCTAAGTGTTAAATAATCAAAGATTTATCAAAAATATTATTTGCAAACATTTTAAAAATGTGAAATGAAACACTTTAAATAATTATTCTTAGAAAATGACTTTGTCAGCATTCAGGAACAATATATTATTTAACACCAAGTATTAGAAGTATATTCTCCCTCTCCATTATTAGTGAAACATTAAGAAAAAAAAAAATCCTGTGTAACTGATCTATTTATAATGTCATGTAATTGTTTACATTCTCCTGGATTGTCTGTAGCTTACACTTTTTATTTTTTGTATTTTCAAAGCTACCCTGTTGTTGCTAGGTAGAGGCTGTTGAGTTGGTTCTGACTCATAGTGACACTGTGTACAACAGAATGAAATATGCCCGATTCTGTGCCATCCTCACAATTGTTGCCGTGCTTGAGCCCGTTGTTGCAGCCATTTGGTACTCTATCTTGTTGAGGGTCTTACCCTTTTTTGCTGACCCTCTACTTTACTAAGCATGATATCCTTCTCCAGTGATTGGTCCCTTCTGACAAAACGACCAAAGTATGAGAGACAAAGTTTGGCCATTCTTGCATCTAAAGAGCATTCTGGTGGTACTTCTCTAAGATATTTGTTTGTTCTTCTAGCAGTCCATGGTACATTCATCATTCTTCGCCAACACCACAATTCAGGTGCATCATTTCTGCAGGCTTCCTTGTTCATTGTCTGGCTTTCATATGCATATGAGGCTGTTGAAAATACCGTGGCTTGAGTCAGGCCTACTTTAGTCTTCAAAGTGACATCTTTGCTATTAAACACTTTAAAGACATATTTTGCAGCAGACTTGCTCAGTGCAATACAGTTGCTTGATTTCTTGACTCCTGCTTTCATGGGCATTGGTTGTAGATCCAAGTAAAATGAAATCCTTGACAACAACAACAACAACATAGGCTAAGGAGAAGGAGCCTGAAGGGAGTGTAGTAATTTTATTATTATTTACTCATCTTTGATTTTTTAGTAATCAGCATAGGTCTGGAATATATTGTTGTTATGTGCTGTCGAGTCGGACCCAACTCATAGTGACCCCTTGTTGGGTTTCCAAGGCAGTATCATTACGGAAGTAGATTGCCCCATCTTCTTTCCTAGGAGTGGCTGGTGGGTTTGAACCGCCAGCCTTCTGGTTAGCAGTCAGTTGCCTTAGGCACTACGCTACCAGCGCTCCCCTGGAACGTATAAGTGTACAGAAAATGTTGGGTCAAAAGGGCAATATCTGCTTTTTCCTTTAAAAGACAGTTGTGCTGTCTTTTAATGTTGAATTCTTTTTTCTTTCTTTTTAAAATTAATACATAACGATACCATAAAATTGACCATTTTATTGTGTGCAATTCAGTATATTCACAAAGTTCTGCAACTATCACTACTACTTAATTCCAAAACTTTTTCATCACCCCCCCAAGACCTTGTATTCAATAATAGTTACTCACCATTTCTTCCCCTCTCACTCTACTTGGGAGCCAATAATGTATTGTCTGTGGATTTTCCCATTTTGAATATTACATATAAATATAATACAGCCTTTTATGATGGGCTTCTTTCACTTACTATAATGTTTTTAATGTTCAATTCATGTAGCATGTATCAGTACTTTATTCCTTTTTGTGGTTGAATAATATTCCCTTGTATGGATATATTTTGCTTATGTATTCATCAGTTGATATTTGAATTATTTGAACTCACTGCCATCAAGTTTGGTTATGAATAATGGTGCTATGAATATCTGTGTACAAGTTTTTGTATAGGTGTATGTTTTCATTTCTCTTTGGTATATACTTAGGAGTATAATTACTGGGTCATATAGGAAGATGGGGCAATCTACTTCCATAGTGATACTGCCTTGGAAACCCAAGGAGGGGTCGCTATGAGTTGGGTCCGACTCGACGGCACATAACAACGACAACAACAAATAGTATCTAGTTCCGTAGAGATACTGCCTCAGAAACCCAAGGAGGGTTGCTATGAGTCACAGCCGACTTGATGGCAGTGAGTTCTTTTTGGTTTTGGATGCTAATTCTATATTTAAGGTTTTGAAGAACTTTTTTCTAAAAAAGCTGTATCATTTTATATTACCACTAGCATTGTCTGGGAGTTCCAATTTTTGCATATCCTTGCTTACACGTATTGTTGTCTGTCTTTTTGAGTATAGCCATCTTAGTAGGGGTGAAGTGGTATCTTGCTTAGATTTTGATTTGCATTTCTCTGATGGCTGATGAGGAGCTCTGGTGGCACAGTGATTAAAACAGTTGGCCGCTAACGAAAAGGTCAGAGGCTGAAACACACCACCTGCTCTGCAGTAAAAAGATGAGGCAGTCTGTTTCCATAAAGATTATGGTCTTGGAAACACTATGGGGCAGTTCTAGTCTGTCCTGTAGGGTTGCTGTGAGTCAGAATTGACTCGATGGCAGTGGCTTTTGTTTTGGAAGACTTATGATGTTGAACATCTTTTCATATGCTTATTGGCCATTTTCATTTTTTCTTTGGAGAACTAGTTATTCATATCCTTTGCTTTTTTTTTTTTTTTAAATTTGGTTGTCTTTAATTATTGAGTTGTAAGAATTCTCATACATTTTGGATACTAGACTCTTATCACATACATGATTTGTAAATTTCTCGTATTCTGTGAGCCGCTTTCACTTTCTTGAGGGTGTTCTTTGAAGCACAAAAGCTTTCAATTTTGATAAACTGCAATTCATCTATTTTTCTTTGCTTGTGATTTATATCCTATCTTAGATGTTACCTCATCTAATGTCATGAAGATTGATGCCTGTGGATTCTGGGAGTTTTATATTATTAGCTATTACCCTTAGGTCTTTGATTCATTTTGACTTAATTTTTGTATATGGTGTGAAGTAAAGGTCCAACTTTATTCTTTTGCTATTCTTTTTGGTCTAGTTTTCCTGGCATTGTTTGTTGAAAAGACTGCTCCTTCTTCCTCTTGTCATTCTTTTCTTACCAAGAGGTAGGAAAAACATTCAGACGAAACCAGTATATGTGTATGTGGGGGGAAGTAAAATGAGAAAAGACTAACCTGGGATGTTTTAGTGCCATTCCTTTTTTTCTCTCCCATCTTTCCCCTTTCTTTGCTTTCTCATTTCAAAGAAATTCCTGTAGTGCTATAATGCAGAAGCACATGGTAGAAATAAAATCTGAAAGCTCTTTGAATGAATATATGAGAACCTTTTATTATATGTGAGTTTTTAATATGTGGATATTTGTAGGCTTTTTTAATGGAATTTATTATGTATGAATATTGAAAGCTCTCTATTTTTGCATGTATTTATATGTTTGTAATAGTATACTATTGGAATTATTGACCTCTGCATATGGAGTAGGCATATATTGAGTCTCAGTAAATAACTCATATTAGTAAGTATAAATCATCTGGCAAAGCACGGTCAGTTACTGATGTTTTCCTTTGCTTATTAGCAGCATAGAAAAAAAAAACTCCTAAATCTTTGAGCCCTTTATCTTAGAGGAATAAAGATAGAACTTGTAGTCAAACTAATTTATCTGATTGCTACTCTCCTTCTGCCTTGTGGTGGAAGAAAGCAAGCAGTTAGTTCTGTATTTATTCATTAAATGAATACTTTTTTTTTAAAAAACTGACATTTACTGATACCTCTTCTCTTCTAGGCATTCTACATATTCAGTCTCATTTAGCACTTCCAGCAATCCATGGCATAGGTTTTATTGGGGTTCAGAAAACTTAATTGCTTGTTCAAGGTTATAGCTAGTAAGTGGTACAACCAGTATTTAGCTCTTGTCTGTAATAATTCAAGGGTAGGGAGATGGCTTTCTTAGAATAGCTATAATATCAGATGATTTATGACAATAGCTAATATTTGGTGAGTGTCTCTCTTTGCTGGGAATGTACTCAACCATTTATATGGTTATATCTGTTTAACTCTGCCAGAGTGTAAAATGAAGGGGGAGGGTTCAGTATGAGATAAAAGTGGAGCACTGGTTTAGGGTCTTTTTTTTAAAAAATTTTATTGTGATTTGGGTGAAAGTTTACAGAGCAAATTTCCTTTTCCATACAGCAGTTCATACACATTTTGTCTCATGACATTGACTGCAGCTTCCTTCCTACAATGTAACAACTCTCTTCCCACTTCCTCCTCATAGTCATCTCTTCCTGTGTCCTTCCTTCCCATGTACTCTTGCTGTACCCCCCCCTAGCTGTCTCCCTGTGCATACACTGCCCTTGTTTTCTCCCATGATTGAGCTCTCCTAGGAGTGTATCTACCTAATGTAAATGTTCAGTTTGTATGCCTGTCTTTTATTTGGCTGGAAGCCACAGGAGTGGGTTCAATTCCAGACCTTGAGGGCAGGTAGGGGCCATAGTCTCAGGGGTTTCACCAGGCTCTATCAGACCCCAGGATTAGAGTCTTTTGCACTATAAATATGATTTAAAGTTTTTGAGCAGAGGAATAGCACATTCAGATTTATTTTTAGGAAGATGATTCTTGCAGTATAGTGCAGTTTGGTTGGAATGAGGAAGACCTGGAAGATGATGATCACCTTGGGAGACTGTTAAATTCACCCGGATGAGAGGTGACGCTTTCAGTTATGGCAAATGGTGGTGGAAAAGATG